ACCACATTTAACAAAAGAACACATTGAATCTACTGAAAAGTCATGTCCTTCTATGCACTCTGTCACCTCTCCTGGCTGCACTGTCTTGATCTGCCAGATGAGAGAACTCGTGAGGACAGTCCCCCAGCACACTCACCATCTCTAGTGGGAGATAACTCATGGTCTTTCTGACTTATATACCCCATGAGAGACCATAGTAGCATACAGTGCCGCAGAACAGAGAAGCTGGGAGTAGCCATAGTCTTGATGTCAAGTGGCTGCCTTGACTTGAACACGGTGCAGTTCTGTGACCCTCTCTGGGCTTCAGTTTCTCCAGAAATTAAAAGAGTGTGATTAAACCATCCCTAGTACAGCATCTCCATTACCCTGCTATCTTTTGGGACTCTCTAGAACCCTGCTTCTCAATCTTTAAAAGTAATTATCAGTTAAAATGTATTGAAATGGTAGTTAAGGATCAATTGCATAATGGGTTTTTCTTTTTATTGTTGTAAGAACACTTAATATGAGATTTGCCCTAAAGTTTTAAGTGTGTAATACAGTATTGTTCACCATAGGCATACTTCTGAAACTTACTGATCTTGTGTAAATGAAGCTTCATATACTTGAACAAAAACTCAGTTATTTTTCCTTTTCCAGGCCCTGGAAACCACTATCTGCTGCTTTTTGTGTGTGTGATTTTATTTTAGAAACTACGTCATAAAATATTTGTCCTGTGACTGTCACTTCCCTTAGTGTGACATTGTCAGTTATTCATGTAGATATGTGATGGCATATGCAAAATTTGTTAAGGCTGAGTAATTCCCCTACTGCACATACAAGCAGCATTTTCTTTACCTACTCATCTATTGATAGGCCATTGTTAGTGTCTTTTTAAAAAATACAGCTTAAATTGTAATTTTAGTTATTGGACCAAGGTTGAATGTATAAACTAGTTATAATTCTTTACTATTGTTAGAGGGAAAACAAATGAATAAACATAAAATAATTGAGAAAACAAGAGCTGATCTGTCAGGTGGTTATTTGGACTGATGTTTAAGCTAGTGTGCCGTTTCCTTTCACTGGTTAAATCTATTAAATAAAAGTGATATGTGGGTTAATGAATAAACTCTCAAAGAAAAAATGTCTTTGTGAAGTATAGTGGTCTGCTGCCTCCATGCCACAGTGAAGAATTATCCAAAGTTAATATATTTCAGAGATTAACTAACTCCCTTACACTAGTATTGACTAAAGGGTAATTATAATTAACTCTTTTATTTCAGTATTGATTAAAGGGTAATAGTGACTTATGCCTTTATAGAACTCTTTTCTCTGAAAAGTTCTATGAATGAATAGGGAAAAAACCAACTACAGCAAGAGTGGATGTCAATAAACACCTTTTTTCCAAATAGACTTTAAATTTCAGAGAAAATGAATAAAGATTTTACTGACAATTCTGAGTTAGAAGCAGCAGATAAATTCCAAGTGTCTTGCCCTTCTGCTGTGATTACAATACCAAAACAAAGTGTTCTGTGAAAGTAACATTGTCTTTTTGTCTTCAATGATAAGTCAAAATACGCAATTCATCAGAGATAGTAGCCTGAGGGAATATTTATCTACATCTAATCTTGCATAGGCATAGCCAGCTGGCTGCAAACAGAGTTCCAAGGGATTTGTGGCTCGCTGTGCTCCAAAATTATGTGTAACTGTACTGGCAGTTGTGGGGACATAGCGGGAAATGGAGCACAGATACAGAAGGCATGCAGGGATGCACTGAGCCTGTACCTGCCGAACAGAGCTGTGAGATGCTCACACAGCGTTGGCCTGCCTCAGCAGAGACTAGAGGGACAGTTGCCAAAAACAACCACTTACGATTTGATATAACCATAAATATATATCCAATTAAATATCAACATTCTGATGTGAAATATACATCATTGATTAAACTAAGGCTTAAAACATTTTATTTCAATTATATTTCTTTAGACAGTGAAAAGTATTTGCGTATCTCTTACACTACAAGTCATTAGACTTACTTATGTCTAACATAAACTTGTTTTTACAGCTGTTAAAATAATTTGCTTTTTTTCATTGTTTAGTGGCTTGCATAGATACAGCCTAGATCAAAGGAAATTTGGGCTGTCACTTTATCTTTACCCTTTGAGGGCTCCTGTATCCTACAGAGGTGACTGCCCCAATCTCTCCTGCATTAAGAGATAGAGTCCGTGAAAATTGGGTCAGCTGTCATTGCTACTGACCAGTGACCTCAGAAGGGTGATGGTCCTGCTTCTTCCTCACTGGCTATGGTTCTTGCTCAGTGCTTTGAGCTGCCATGTTGAACAATCTGACTAGTTACACACAGATCAGTTACTTCCCCCCAGGAATGTGTGAGGTCTTCACTATACTGCTCCATCCTCACCCTTTTCCTAGTACTGTGTCAGTGTCCACTGATCCTCTCCAACTCATGCAGAGAAGCCAGTGTGACCTCACATGTGCACATGCCACATTCCTCCTGGGGAAGCCCTCCAGTGAACTCACTTGGAACAGGCTCACACTCACCATATGACTTAAAGGGCTTCGTGCTTTGCCCCTGTGCCTTTCTTTCCCTTCTGCAGGCGCCTGCCTTGTGACACTGGACGCTCCTTTCCTTTGCACATACCTCTCTCAGAGGCTGATCTCCCCTGCCCTTCTCCTGCCTTAGTGCTACTCATACTTCATTCTCAGTTTCAACTGACTTCAGTCCTCAGGCTCCCTGATCCAGAACAAGAGCATCCCTTCCTCCCTCACAGACGACAGTGTGCCTGCATTTCTTCTTTCACTATATTCTTCACCATCTCTTCCTGAACTGGAAATTCCAACACAGGTCAGGGCCTGTGCTTGTCACTGTGATCTTTGTCATAACGACTGACTGGATAAACAAACAAACCTGGATTAAAAGATCGATACCAGTTCTGGGGGAAGTTCTTGTACTACTCTAATCCACAGAATTTAAGAGCAACAGTTTAGCTCTGGCCTGTGTGAAATTCAGGCCAGCAAATCTTCTAAGGTATAAACAGGTCAGCTGATTTCATGAATGATACAAAATTGGAAAGAATGGCTAATCCATTCCCTACTTGTGGTGACAAAGGATAACAGCTAGCTGGGTGAGCAAGAACGTGTATCCTGCAGCTTAACAAAGGAGGACATAAGACCCTGCACTGTGCAGGATGGGGCCCTTGTCACAGATACTAGGGAGAGGGGGTAGCCAGGAAACCTCCTGTGACCAGTAGTAGCTGATGTGGCTCCAGGGAGGGCTGATGCCATTTAGACCACTGTGGCAGGTGAGTGGGGCCACCCTGCAGGGCTGGGGCTGTCGATGTTAAGCTTGGGAATGACAGCTTAGAAGCATTGTTGAAGAGCATGTGCTTACTCCAGCATGGTAGAATCAGGGGACACCATAGTTCTTTAAGAGAAGGGCTGGGCTGTAGAAAAAGGGTTCCATTCTCACCAGAAGGCAATAGTAGGGCACATGACTGGTGATACATAACTGCCCTCTCCAGCACAGCCTTCTCATCTTCAGCCTTTCTGGTCCTTTGCAACATCTGTGTTTGGTTTTCAACAGGATGTTTTTTTCCCTTTGTCTCTCCATGGTCCCTTCATCCATCACTCCACACACACGCACACATATCAACCTCAGATGCTTGGTTAGTGACCTTAATGATTTTTGGACCCCATATCCTTGAGCCCTAAGACCTACACTGTTTCTTATGGCTTGCACCCCTGGGCTGTTCCTTCCCTCTGCTCCATATCTGGCTTGTTCAGAGGAAGCTGTACTGGGGAAGCTGTGCCAGCTGGCTCCTTGACAGATTCACGCTGGGCAGCTTTCCTTCTTCAGACCTGCTCAGCATTCTTCCATTCATCAAGGCCATTTCCTGTCTCATTCCCACAAGGATGGCGCTGAGCCCTTCTCCACTTTGCTTCTCCAAAGCAAACTCTAACACTCGAATTCGGAGGAATGGTTTACAGACATTTCCTTCACAATCTCAAATTGTTACTATCTCTTTACTCTCTCTTTCTCTCTTTTCCTTTTCTCAAAACTTTAAGAGAAAAAATAAATGTTTCCTTCCAAAGCTTGCTCTTCCATATGAACTTCTGATACCATTTCTCATTTCCTCTGGACTCTCGCTTTGTAATTTATCTCCTCTCTCTCCACTCTCCAATTTTCCCCTCACCGCTGGCTGCTTCTCTCAACCAGTGAACATGCTCAGGCATTTTTGGGAGATAAATCATGGGCAGTTATTGCTTTAAAATGGATTGGAGAGAGGGGAAACCAAGCCAGAGAATCCAATAAGGAGGCTTCTTCCAGCATTCAAGTCAGAGACAAAGGAACCTGTCTAGGTTAGTGAGAGAAAGAATCCAGAATAGGTGAGAGCAGAGGGCTTTGTTAGCGGAATGCCTCCAGTTAGTTGTTATTAATGACTTTACCTTACTTCCCTTACTCTTTTTTTTTTTTTTTCCAGATCTTGTGGGCAAAGATCATGTCAGGTTTAGCTCCCATTCTCTCACAAATTCTTGCTTGAATGAGTGCAGAATCCCCCAGAGCGGTTGGTGGGGAAGTGGCCATCTGGAAGATACACATTTTTTTTTAAGGCTAGTTAGTGAGGTTAGGAGAAATCCTTCCCTGTTCGGACAGAGACAATGGGACGCTTGCATTTCAAAGAGTGGTGCTTATATTAATTTCTTACTGCTGCTGTAGCAAATCACACCAAAACTTACCATAAGTTCTGGAGGTCAGTGTTCCAGCTGGGTCTCACTGCACTCAAGGCAGTATGTCAGCAGGGCCACACATTCTGCCTCATGCCCACTGTAGCTTGGGAGCTGGCTTGGCCCATCCTGCTTATGTAGTGGCACTCTGACACCAGCTGTCTTGCCCATCTAGCCAGAAGCATATGTCATTGTTCAGACCCACTGGGATAATAGGAGACCCCACCCCACGAAGTCATGAGGTCATGCCACCTATTGACCTACATATTCACACACTCCAGGGAACCAGGCCTGGACACATTGGGGAGCCACTGTCACATCCCTGAAGAAGTGGCATCTACATCACCTCATCTGTTCCTAGAGATGCAGTCTTGAGACCCACACCCCAAGCTTCTGAATCAGAGCTGCATGCCAGTCAGATGCCCAAGGAGTGAGGGGTATAAAGTTTGGAAAGCTACAACTAGACTATCTCTAAGGTCAGACTTCCCTTTATTCTAACAGAACTGCATTTTTCCTTTTCACATTCTTTCTAATTCTCATTTCCTGCTCCACCAAGTTAACTTTGATCCGTACCTCTAGTGTTAATTCCTGAAAAGTCAGCCAAGTTGAACATGATACCTCATATATATTTTTTGCTGGAAGAAAATGGATTTTAGAAAAGGCAATTAAATTATGGACTTCTCCATGATGCAAAGGAACTAGTGTGCAAAGAGTGTTTCCTTCCCCAAGGAGATTCATAGGAGAGCTGCCTTCATTAGTGGAGATAATATGAGTGGCCTAGCAAGTGAAGCAAAACACTCACATATGAGCTGTTTTCAAGACATCTCTGGATGTCTCAGCAATGGAGAAATGTGACCAGAGCTGATGATAAAATTCCTTTTAAAGTTGCAGAATGGCAAACCCATAAATAATTCCAGTTCTCATTGGTATGAAAATAAGGCTGCTGGCTGTTTGATTGCTTATTGTAGAAGATGAGAGCTTACTGCTAGATTTTAAGCTCTCAAAGACTGGTGCCAGCTATGTGCACTGCCTGGGACCTGGGACACACTGCACACATGCAGGCTGGAATCTGTTCAGCTCTTTACACTGTGTGACACTCCGTGTTGAATTATAGAGGTGCACTGAAAAAACATGACAACTCTGGGAGTGCTTCAGTGATCACTGTACTAGATTCCCTGCTTTGTTTATTCCTTCATTTGGCCATTTAGCAGACATTTATGAATCATTTGCAGAATGCTATCTGTTGTTTGGGATCCTGTCATTCGGGAGCTCATCCTACTGGAGCAAATGGTGATGTAGTAAATAATAAGCAGGGTCAGAGCATCACTCATGGGCTTCTCTCATTCACAGTTGGCCTGGATTTTTCTTTAAAATCTTCCATTTCCTCTTTGCCAACCAGATGAATTATTTGGCTATATTATTTTTATTTCCAATCCTATCTGTTGATATTGCCTTAAGGCACTCACTAGAACCTCACACTAGTGCAAGTAAAAAAGAGGGTGCCACACAGGTATTATACAGACTTTGGGAAACTCTAAGCAGCTCCAAGCTAGCCTGTCTTCAGGGCAGGATCTCTCCCTCTCTGCTCAGATAAGACTCCCATGGTAGGGAGTCCAGGAAGTCCCATTGGTTCCCCCTGTCTTCACACCAGGCACAACCTGGCTCTGCCACTCACTGGAGCGTAGTCAGGTTGCTTCCTCCATGGCACTCGCAGGTATGAGACTGTTACACTTGGTGCCCAGCTTATCATGGCTCTACTTACAGTTTCTCAACTTCACAGAGGAGGGAAAGCAATACTCATGTAACCATTCTGTTTTCCATTTTCAGTACAGTTTTCAATAAATTATTTACAGTAGGCTTTGGGTTAGACAAATGTAACTGTCCCAAGTGTGTTTAAAGCAGGATAGGCTAACATATGGTGTTCTCTAGGTTAAATATATTAAATCCATTGTCAGTTTAAAGTATTTTTAATGATGGGTGTATTAGACTGTAACTCCCATCATTAACCAAGGTGCATCTGTACAATGATTTTCAATCTGTGTGTTTACATCTGTTTCCTTCTCTAGGTTTGGCAGTGTCTGTAGTTTGGCGATACTTCTTTTGTTACTAATGCATCTGTCCCTTAGTGCAGTGCTGAACATTTAGTAAATAATTTAATGAAAACAGAGGAAGACAGAAGTGCATGTTAGCCAGGCCAAAGACAGACTTCCTATGGTACCAGTAGCTTGTAGGATAGGGAGTGGGGGAGAATCTTAGTCCACTGCTGCTCAGCAAGGCTGTGGAGGCTGGGGCTCTCTGGGAGGGCGGTGTCCAGGGATGACTTCCCAAGTGAGTGTTGAGCACCACCCCAGCTCTAGGTTCTTGGGATTTCAAAGCCTCTCCCTGAGTAGACCTTCTTCATGGTCCAAAATAAATGGTTCCACTCTTCTCTGCTTGAAATCTATTGAGCAGTTAATATATGCCAAATTCTATACTAAAACACATCATCTCTTTCCATTGTTAGACTTTGATGAGTAACACCCTCATTTTACAGCTAGAGAACCAAGTTTCAGAATCTAAGTAGTTGACCCATGATCACAGTGTTAGCATATTGTGGAGCCAAGATTAGAATACTGGTGTGTTTTATTTCCAGCTTCCTCTGATGCTTGGCTGACCCCTCCAGAAAGTTCTTCCCTCCTTGGGCAAACATCATGGCTCGCTTCTCTGTGGGGCCACAGCACTGGTTTATAAAGACAGTTCTGCACTTCTTACTCCCTTTGTAGGTATGTCTGGCTTCACTGCTGGGCACTGTCTTCTCAGGGTGCAACTGTCTCGGCTTCTTTTTTGGTGTCATTATCACCTGTCACTTAGCAGGCTCACTCAGTGTCTGACTCCTAAGCTGAGCTTTGGAAGGAGGCATTATTTTCCACATTTAAAAAAAAAAAAAAAACTGTACAAAACACCATGAGTTTCTTATTATGCAAAAGTAGACTCTAAAAATCTAGAAGTCTCATAAGTATTATTCTAATCTCTGACACTGAAATGTAAAGGACAGCCACACCGTCACCTGCCTTTATAATGCTGGGGCCACATCCCAGCTGACTGAGACCCCATCTTTGTTATGCAGCTGGGACAGTGCAGACATGCAGCCTCTCACCCATCACCCACCTCTGCACCACGCTGGTCACCCTGGAGTGGGTGTGGATTAGTCAGAAGACTGGGACAGGACTTCTCCCCTCATACTGCTTCCTGTCTGGGAGACATGGTGGGTACTCATCATGCGAGGAGAAGGTGCTGAGTGTTAAAGACACTGTGCTGAGACAGAGGGCTGCAGGGACTGGGACCCCTTACTCAGACACAGCAGAGAGGGTGCTTAGCCAACACGTAGCTTTCAGCTGCAACGCGAAATGGTGAGATCATCCCAATCAAAGAGAAACCTGGCAAGACGGAGCACGAGGTGGCTGGCTTGGGGCTGCACTGTGACAGTAGGGCAGGACTGTCAGGAAGGGTGGCTGTGGAGGGCTGCAGTGCCAGCACTCAGAGCCCTCACTTCATTCTGAAATGCTGAAGGGAGAGGTAAACACACATCAGGACGTGCTTGGCATCTGTGTTCTGTGTCCAAAGGTTCTGTGTCTGTGGATTCAATTAAAATACTCAGAAAAAAGTTGCATCTATACAAAACATGAACAGACATTTTTCTTGTTATTCCCTAAGCAATACAATATAACAGCTATGAGGTGTGATTGAAAAAAATGGTGAATGTTTAAAGTAAAAGACATGTTGCTATCCATTTCCCTCCAAATACTTCCCCTCACTTCTAACACTTTCTGAGAAGCTTCTAATTCTTGTCCCATTTTTCTCCCCCTTTCGGAAGCGGCTCTGGAAATCCTTTTTCACATGTTTAATTGCCCTGCCCTGTCTCATTGTGCTGAACTGATTCAAAATGTTTACGTTTCATGGTTATCAGACTTTAAAAAGGGGGAATAAGGTGGGTGAGGATGCACTGTGATGTTTTTACAAACTGACTTTCCACTGACTGTGCTCAGCAGCAGCAATCACTGCGTGGTTTTATTTTTTTTTTAATCATATTCCATAAAGACATGAAAAAAAACTTCAGGAACTGCTTCAGAAGGTGGCAAGAATGATGGGATTAGGGTATTAGAAGTAAGAGGAAATACTTTGAGGAAGATTAATGGCAATGTGTCTTTTACTGTAATAAACTTGTATGATCTAAACATTCACCATTTTTATACTACAGTATTACATAACATTTATAGTGTATTAGATATTACAAGCAACCTTGAGATTATTTCAACTTTATAGGGCATGTGCATAGGTCTCCACATGAGAGATTGAGCAGCTCTGAATTCCAGTATGTTTAGGGCCCTGGAACCATTCCCCAGGGTGCCAGGGGGCACCTACACTGAAAGAAAAGCACCAGCCTTGTAATTGCAGGGAAACGTCTGGGAGAGAGAAAGCAGGTCTCGTGTCCAATTGGTAGCGCTGGGCCTCTGCTGTTCACACAGCCTGTGGAGGTAGGTCACAGCTGTGGTCAGAGTCACTTTGGAACTAAGACCACCTAAGTGGCTCATCAGGAAGCCTAGCCGAGTCCCTAAGCATTTGACACAGACAGGCTCCAACACCGCATCATGTGAATGAGGAGGTTGGTTTACAGGGCCTGTGGTGTTCACCCATCCTGCCATGGTGCTGCAATTGGGCAGGGGGGTGGGGGGCAACCCGCCAGCTGGGCCAGAGAGTAAAGCCACAGAAAGAGGAGAGAATCAAAAGAAAACTCAGAACAACCTGCTCAAATTGCACTTGCGAAACTAGATTTAAACTAGAAGAAGCAAGACAGAGGAGTATGATTTTGGAAATGTAAACTGGTTGCTAGCTGACTGTCGTATCACCCAGCAGCCTGAGTGACCACCTGTGGGCCCCAGGGCCACTCTGCAGTGGGCATGTGTACCACATAGGGCTGCATCAAGCCAACCACTTCCTGTGTGAGTCTGAGGCTGTGAGCACACCATACCACCATACCAGTCTGGACTGTGGCCAGGAGGAGAGGCTGCATGTGAAGCCTCCAGAAGCAGCCTCTGCACAACAGGCAGGGCAAGCATGATTCTTGTGGTCCTCCATGTGCCAGCTCCTGGTAGCCACCTGTGCATGTGAGGGAATTCCTTTTTCACGTGTTTAATTGCATCCGGTCCTCCAGGAGCTCCTTCCGAATGCAGAGGTGGCCTTGGAGCGCAGCCTCACAGTAACTTCATGTGGCCGCCACGCCTTGCATCTAACACTGCTTACACACACACACACACACACACACACACCCATAGGCGGATCGGCTTTGGTGGGGTTCTGCTGAGTTGGGGGTGGGTGTGCATGTGTGTGTGTGTGTGTGTGTGTGTGTGTGTGTGTGTACAGAGACATTTATATAAAAACGTAAATATAGGGAAAAAGTGCTGCCCCCTTCACATCAGAAAACCCATGGATCAAAGCAGAAAGTGGTTGGCCTCTTGGAATGCACTGGAATTGAATATTACTGTGGAACACCTGAGAACAGGCAGAAAGGTTTTTTTTCTTTTTTTCTTACTTTACTTTCCATATACCTTGGAATACCTGTCTTAATCAAGTATTGTCCTCTAGGAATTCCATAGTTAGATTTGGTAGCAGAACTCAGTTACTGACAGTTTTCTGAAGATACGTTGAGAGCTGGCATATAGGAAATGACAAGTATAGAAAATACTTCCTGGACACATCTAACTGAGGCTGTATTTTGTTGCTGTTGTATTTTTTTCTTTTGGAAAAGTAGTATAAACATCTGTAAAGAAAGTATTTTTATAAGCAGTACTTTATATTTTGTTTTGCCTTAATATAATAAACCATTATGTTTTGCAGGTGAGAGAGTAGAAGCAAGGAAAACAAATGTTTGAGGAAGCAAACAAAAACAAATTCTGGGTCATTATTGTTCACAGCTGTGTAGGTAGATTGAAAACTCTGATCCAATGCAACAATAATGTAGTTGATATAATTAATAGCTAGACAGTATATTTAGAAGGGCATACTAGATGTGGTAATAAGGATAATTATTAAGAAATTTTATGTAATATGAGCCAAACCATAATAGCTTAAAATGCTAGACCTTTATGTAAAAGAAATATGTTAGAAGGCAAACATATTCATATATGCAACTCCAGTGCAATAGTAACTTCAGGCAAATTTACTGATTATTAGACTGTAATAACCTTTCAGGTTGGGATGCATACATTTTTAAAAGCTATTTGGGAAAGAAATAACTATCTTTCAATACAACAAGTGAATAAGAGAAGACATGTCCGCAGAGGCCAGTTGAGAGTTGCTCAAAAGTCCTACTTCCCTGTGTGGCCTGGAGACTTGGGCTGTCCTGCACCTTGTCCCTGACCACTGCAGCCTCTCCACTACCTACCTCCAGCTCACCTCCAGTCACGCCTTCTCTCACCTGCCGTTTTCCTTCTGCCCCAACTGCTGGCCCCTTCCCTCTTCCCACCCCTCTCATTCTGTAGTCAGGTCCTCCTGTAGATGACTGTATAGCACTTGTATATAGTATGCAAGTGCATGTTACTTTGTGTGATCATACGGTCAATGTACGCCTCGAGTTCCAGAAAGTTTGATGGTTCATCACACAACAGGTGTTCAAAGAATAGTTGCTGAAATAGATTTGTAAAGACAATACAGAGAAGAAGTAAGAAAAAACAAATTTTAAGTAATGGAAGCTAGAAAAACTATGAATCATCAAATGTGAAAATCTTTGCATATATATATATATATATATATATATATATATATATATATGGAAAAACCCATGTTTAGCATTTACAAATGTCTGAATTCAGAACCAAATTGTTTTTCATAGTTTGTTGTGTTTTTCATTATAACCCAAATACTTACATACTATATGAAATAGCTGCCTACTTTCTAACATAATCCAGAAAGAAACTAAATGTTCTGATCAGTAGCATCCTATTGCACATTCCAGCTCATATAATCCATATTTCATGAATCTGACTACAACCAACTACATTTAACTCTAAAACTTGCTGGTCTTAATCTAACTACTAGTGAAAGTAGTGGTAAAGTTTTCTAGGGCTTTAGCAACCATTTACCTTTGAATAATGCAGAAATCTAGTATTAGTACTGAAATCTTTTTCACAGAAAACTAAAAGGAGCTAGGTAATGCTATAATAGGATATCCTGTAATAATACCAAGTTCTTTGAGATAATAATCAATTAATTCTAATAGGTAACGAGAGAATACTGCCGCATTCTAATAAGAAATGCACATAGGCTGTCAAACACTGAATATAAGCTTACACCTATCAAAATCCTTAGCTCGGCTATGTTTTTGCTCTCACAGTTTTAAATGTTTGCTTCTCAGAAATGTGTTTGAAATCCTTTCTGGATTATAGCTAAGACTGCTATTTTAAACGTATAATACATTTTCCTATCTTGACAAACGTTAGTGGGGTTCACAGCAGGCTCTGTGACCCTGACATGACCCCTTCCCCCGTGCAGCTAGAAACACAGTGGCACGAGGCTATTTCTGTACATTTTTGGAGGAGACCCCTGAGCCAGCAGGAAGGAAGCCTGAGACAGAAAAAGACTGTGTCCTCCCTGAAAAACGCATCTTGTGTGCATCTTGGTGTTGGGGAGGGTGGGCTGCCAAGCCTGATGGCTCCTCATGCCCGCTTCTGCCAGCTCACAAGGAAGGCTCTGTGGGGTGTGCATGCAGATGGAGCAAGTCCAGGCGAGCACCATGTGAGGGTGCACTGGTTCATAGCACCCAGAGTTTGTTGGTTAGAGGAAGCAGAGTCGTCGGCTGCTCCAGGCCACTCTCAGTCTTCAGTCCAGCATAAGGGTCATAAATGAAAAATATTTAACTTGTTTGCCTTTCTTTTCTTCTCTTTTCTTCTTCTTTTGTTTTTTCCTTACAGATCTATGCAGTGAGATCAGTAGTTCCCAACAAAAGCAATAATGAAATAGTCCTGGTGCTACAGCAGTTTGATTTTAATGTGGATAAAGCTGTCCAGGCCTTCGTCGATGGTGGGTATACCTGTTCCCAGAAATGGAAGATACTGAACTAAATATCCATAGTTAGGGGTTTTTTTTAGGTTTCGGGAGGTCTTTAAATGAACTGAATATCAATTTGCCTCTAATACTTTAGTTCTCATAAAGATATGCTGAACTTAACCCATAGACTTGAGTAGAATTTGGATGTTCTTTTTAAAATCAACAGAAGACTATAAAGATAAGTAACCAGAGGTTACTGATTGTACTGCTACAAATTCCCTTGTCTCCCAGCCCTTCCTGTTTATTTTACACAAGTCCTTTGCTCAGAGGCACCCTTGCAGGCAGAGGAAGGAGGACGCCAGGGAAGCACTGCTGGCGCGGAAGGCTTTCCTGCCCATCCCCCAGCAGAATTCGCCTTAGCTTCATGACTGCTACCTTGAGCTCAGAGTATCGGTCATTTTCCCTACCTCTAAAACCTTGTTTCCTGAAAAAAACATTTTCATTTTGGTTTTGTTTTCAAACAGCACATTGCCAGGGATGTTATAGAGTCTAAAGTTTCAGGACTATGTTTGTCCCATCATTTCACAATGTAAAGCCTTAGATTTCCTGTGCATTATGGGAAAGTCTCCTCCCCAGTCAAAGTAAACAAGTTTCGGCTTTAAACAAAGACTTTTCCACCTGTCCTGTCACTAAACGTCTTCTGTCCTAGTGTTAGTTTCTGTTCTATAAACATGAACTCTCAGGATTGCGAGAGTGAGGAGGGAACACATGTGTGTCAGCACTCTGCTGACAACAGTGGAGTTGGCTTATTTTCCTAGGAGTAGAAGAACCTTCTCAAGTTTCTGCAAGTATAATTGCATTAAAGGCAAGAACCCAGATCCAAGCAACTGCTCACAGATGTGAGCAGTCAAGGGATGGGGCACTAACAGAATTGGCAAATGATTGTCCTTCAGAATAGACCTGTACATGACTCCTCTCAGTTTTCCCCTTCTCCGTAAACTAAGGGATGAAGACTCATTTCTTAGTTAGAAACAAACAGTAACAATTGTAATGTTAATCTGATTTTGTAACATTAAGTACAGTTTGTCTCAGAAAAATGTTTGGAAATGAGCACATCTTGGCTCTGTTAAATCCCCTTCTGAGTTTTCACTTGCCCACATCACTTTATGGAAAAAAACTTTAGCAAAGGAAGAAGGCTCTGGCCCTCACTCTTCCCTTGTTCCCTGGGGTTGAGATAGTCACCATCACAATGGTCTAGAGAGACACAGATGCAGTTGTCAGTGGGTGTCCCCAGATCAGCTCCTATCTAAACAGAGCATCATGCAGGCCTTCTCAAAATGCGCAGTTCACCCTGTCCATGTGGAGATCTTATTAGAAAATTCATCAGAACCTCAGGTCATGGTGGTCAAGAAACAACAGGAAAACGTGTTTAAAAACCACTATTTAGGGCCAGGGATAGAGCTCAGGGGCACAGCTCCTGCTGTCAGGCATGAGGTCGTGAGTTCAGTCCCCAGTACCAAAAAAAAAAAACAGAAAACTATTTAGAGTCACATATGAGGCATATTGATGAAAGGCACTCTTTCCACATGGCATTTAAAAATTCCAAATAAGTAGCTCAGTGTAATAAAAATGCAGTAACATTTCAAAATCGTCTATAAGTAAGGGTATTTCTTCTACAGAATTACTCTTGATAATCCCATCATCCAAATTACAAATAGAGTTTGTCACATATGAAAATCAGAGAACTAATTGAATATTGTAGTTGCACAAAAAGTAAGCAACTCCCCTCCTTCTGATTAGAAAGAATAGCATTTTAACAATTTTTTAAATTTAGTTTTACTTATAAAATGAAAGCTTGGTTATAAGTAAGAGAGACCCTAATGACTATTGACCACTGGAGTAACTTACCATGAAATCTCATGAAAATGACTTCTGACAGCTCTTCAACAGGAAAACGCTGTGAAATGTTAATTCTCTGAGCAAATTAGAGAAAGATCATCCCAGTTAATTAAAAGTCTGAATTATAGTTTACTGTTAGGTACAATCTTATTATTTTAAGTGCACACAATTCAAGTCTAAGAGAGGCATTGAAATGAGAACTTTGAATAGACAGAATAATCAGCCTGTCTACACTTTAGCAGTACAGCCTTCTTCTTGTCTGTCAGAGACAGCAGACTCAAATGGGGACCCTGTTAATGTGAAACTTGTTATGAAGACCAGCCTGAAACTTATCCATGTTTAGCCAGCACCTGCCTTGTAGACAGCAATTAGTCTACAAAGATCATATGAGAATGCTTAAAACTGCTAAATCACTTAAGAGCTACTCTTTTCAAAATACCTGTTTATATAAAAATAAATGATAAACTTGTTCCTAGTAACTTATTATCAAAATCACGTCCAACATAGTTGGAAGGCATGGAGCTGGTTGCCCTGTGTGGAAACACTTTGACCGGCCTGTGATAAAGTACCTCTTCAAAAGTGCTGCACGGCATCTTCAGGCCACGCCTCCTCCGACGCTGTGCAGTTTCCTGCATGTGTGTGAGTGGGATGGACAGAACCTGGGGCCCAGTTTGCATCTAACGAACTTCACTGGCTTCAAAACAGAAGCCTGGGGAAGACCCCCACCTGCCCTGTCAATGGCCAGCAGAAGCTGACTGGGCAGGATCTGCCATCCCTGCAGGCTGTGAACACAAGGACACACAGCAAAAGAGAAGGGGCGCCCACAGAGCGCCGATTCCCTGGCTAATCACATTCAGGCTCCTTCGTCTGGTTTAGAGGATTGTAGATATTTTTATTCATATAGCAAACAAAAAAATTTTAATTCTATCTATGGCAATGAAATCATCAGAAAATTCTCAAGACATATTTCATTTTTCCTAAGACAATATAATGATAATAAGCTTCATCTAGTAGAGCTTAATATTTTGATAAAAACCAAGATTGTGCAGTGAATTAAATGAAAATCTGGGAAACAAGAAGTGAAACTGGCTTTTTTATTAAGGTGAAATGTAACATAAGATATGAAAAAGCCAAAAAGAAAATTGCTACTAAGATGGAAAGACAGAGGTGAATTTTATGTAGCATTTTATTATGTGTATATTTGCTGAAGTTTTTTGTCTTTATCTAGGCAGTGCAATTCAAGTTCTGAAAGAATGGAATATGACAGGAAAAAAGAAGGTAAGAGTAATACTGATCGTGAAGTAGTAACATCTTCAATCAGACCCTCATAGTTGCCACTGTAATAAAGCTATCAGTTCATGCTTCTCTCACATTCACTGGTGTATGCGCCCAGAAAATGTCTGGATTTGTGACTTCCCTGAGTCACCAGCCACTCTCACTATGACTGTCTCTTTTCTTCCATGTCTTTAGCCATAGACATGCTCAGCAAGTCTCAGAGTTGTGTTTCTTTGTTAGGGTTAGAGAAATCCAGCCAGAGGATTCAAAGTGTTCAGGACCTTAGCTTGCCTGAAGATATCTCATGGTACAATGGGACAAATAAAGGAATGTTTTGTAGATACTTGAATGGTTCTAGTTTCATGTGTTCTTAACAGAAAAAATTTGTCCAAAGCAACCCTGAGATGGGTTTTCTTGCTGAGTGTAAGGTAGATCTTAAATAAAAGAAGAAAGACAATGCTATTCCTTGAGGACTGAGGGGAGGAGATTTTCCTCTGTCATTCAAATGACTGTACTTCACCTTGCTGTCTGGCCCCATGGAAACTGGCTTCTGTGCGCATGTGTGGTGTACCTCTGTGCACAGTGGCAAGGTCCACAGTGGCAGCCCAAAGCCTTGGTTCCGTTTTCTGGGAAATACCATACCAGCACCAGTGACTCCTCAAGGAGGTGATTTCAGGCCTGCAAACAGATTGCCAGTACACAGAAAGGAGTGTTACTTTCACACAGGCCCAAGATCCCTGGAATCACTCTTCACATTTTTTCTCCTCCTGGTTTCATGTAGAATGGAAAGAATTAGGAGATTTTTTTTACATCTTTGTGTGCCACCATTTTTGACAATCTCTGCTTGTCTTTAATCATAGCTTAGGCTTCTGTGCAAGACGAGGATGATTTGCAAGTGATTGAAAGGCTGTATTTATCTTTATGCAGAAAAATTTCAGATGTGCGGTTTGGGTTTTCAATTTCTCTGATGAAAAGCAAAAAAGCAGACAGCAGCTGCAGACGCAACTCATTACTGCATCTCCCTCTAGAGCAGTGATGGCAAACCTTTCAGAGCTCTCAGTGATGCAGACAGCCCACTGTGGCACATGTGCTGTAGGGTTGCCATACTGCACAGAATAGGTGCCAGCGGCCCCTGCCCTTGCAGCCAGCAATGTGCGTCTTTAACAAGAGCAGAGTGCAGCTTCAGGAGAAAAGAAAAGGAGTGAGGAAGAAGAAGCTTCTAGGAGAACAAAACTAGCTGGTGTCAGCAAGTCCTGCTGGAGCCTGAGGTGGGTGGAGCTTCCTCATAGGTCAGGGACCAGGGCCTGCACCCTGCTGACTGCCAGGGGCACGGAAACAGAACCAGAGCCACACAGAGTATACTGCTGCATAATCAGAACCACATGCTCTTAGCTTCTGGAGTGGCACTGCATGTTCACTGTAGGACATTTTCGGAGAGATGCAGTAGGACCTGTTGTGTTGTAATACTAGGGCCCCAGAGGTCATGCTGCTTCAGGGTAAGTGAAATGAGGCTCGTAGTGCTATTTCTTCAGCCACGGAGTGACCAGGGACCTAGCTGCACAGTCCCAATCCAGGAAGCCCAGATCAGACTGGCATTGACCTGCAGCAATCAGTGCAGCTTGAGCACCCACAGAGTGACTAGAGCCTGGGGTTTGACCAGTGGTAGCCATGCCAGGGATATCCTAGTGGGTCAGACCTGTTTCACGGATGCCACCTCCCCTCAAGGACAGGCCTTTCTCCTCCATAGGCCTGCCCTTCTCCGCCTGCCCTCCCCTAGTCTCCTGTCTCCCTGACATAAACCATGACAATACATAGTGAGTTCAAGGCCAGCCTAGACTACACAGCGAGACCTGACCACAATACAAAGAAACAAGCAGGATCCGCATGTCAGAGCCTTAGTGCCCACCTGACCTTCCTTACCCATCTTAAGAAAGAAGCTTGCCAAATGTGGCAGTGCACAGCTTTAATCCCCCAGCACTTGTGAAGCTGAGGCAAGAGGATCGCTATGAATTTGAGACCAACCTAGGTTACTGTCTTAGTTAGTTTTTACTCATTGTTGAGACAAAATACCTGACAGCCAAAGTTAGGGAACGAAAGGGTTATTTCTTACAGTTCTTGGAGGTTTCAGTCCATATTCAGCTGCTCCAAGGCAGTGTGGCATGGTGTCTTAGTTACTTTATGCTCGTTGCTGAGACAAAATACTTGATGCCCAAGTTGGGAAAGGAAAGGTTTATTTCTTACAGTTTTTGGAGGTTTCAGTCCACACTCAGTTGGCTTCCAGGCAGGCGGGCATGGCTGGGCCGCCTTTCATGGCGGCTGCAAACAGCAAAATGAACCGGCAAAGAGCAAGACACACCTTCTTCGTGCCATTACATCACATCCTGGCTCCACCCCTATGTGGGTGGAGCACTGACACCAATCCAAGCACTAGACAATGAACCAATCACAAATACACAATGCAAACTCATGAGGCCTGGGGGACACAGACATAAACCATGACATATGGCAAGGCAGCCTTTCAGGGCCACAGAAAAAGCAAAAGCGCAAGACACACCTTCTTCCCGCTAATACATCATATCCAGGCTCTACCCCTGGGCAGGTGAAACACACCACCAATCCAAGCTCTAGACAACAAATCAATCACAAATGCTAGATTTGGTCAAGTCCATAATTGCATGCGACTTGGGGGCCACTGACATAAACCATGACACTACGACACTACATGGTGAGTTCAAGGCCAGCCTACACTACACAGCGAGACCTGGCCTCATACAAAGACACAAGCGGGATCCTCAGGACCCCAAAACTGAACTCAAGTGTGTCAGGGTTGTTGTCATAAGGTTTTATACCATTCATGCATCAGACTCTCAAGGAGAAAAAAAATATTTAAATGAATTTAGGTGGTTAATAAGAATGTAGGCTTACCCATCCTGTTAAAAGAGCCTGGACCAAAAAGATGAACTGATTTTTAAATCTCCAATTCACTTTATATTTCAATAATGTGAGCTGAATAGCATTATTTTTCTCATTTGCTTCTCACTTTAGAATAATAAAAGAAAAAGAAGCAAGTCCAAGCAGCATCAAGGCAACCAAGATGCTAAGGACAAGGCAGAGAGGCCCGAGGCGGGGCCCACACCGCGGCAGGCCCCAGTGCTGCAGGCCCCGGTACAGAGCGGCCTGGCTGGTGGCTGTGAGAAGGACAGCTCATCCACAGACTCGGCCGGAGAGAGGCCCGCCCTGCCCCCCCGGCAGAAGAAGATCTCCATCCTCGATGAGCCCCCCAAGGCACTGCACGGGCTTGCAGGTCAGTCACCCCGCAGCCCTGCAGGATTCTGGAGGGGAGAGGCCCTTGTCACGGAGCTTTAGGGGCCGGGAGGCAGGCATGTGCAGCAGGGCAGGCACCTAGGCAAATGGTAGCAGTCAGATGCAGTTGTGCCTCTGTTGGAATCAGCAGAACATGGGAATTCTAGTTCTGAACAGTATTCTTGCCAGGCATTTTGCTAGGATAAACTGGTGACAAACAAAAGACATTAGTTTTCAGAAAGGGTAAATCTTGCTGTTTTAACTCTTGGTGATTTTATAAGATATGACAGAACATGATTAGCCAGTGTTAGAATCTGGAATGTCAATTATTCATGCCACCTCCCTACATGAATTAATTTCTGCTGGCTGCTTTGTAACACACGGTGACCTCTGGTGCCTCATTTCCTCAGTTTCAATGCAGCAAGCACAGTCTTAGTCCATTTTCTACTACTGCTGTAACAGAATACTGCAGACAGTGTAAATTACACACAACAGACGTTTACTTGGCTCACTTTTTGTTTTTTTAAGACAGGGTTTTGCTATGCAGTTGAACTGGTCTTGAACTCACTTTGTAGCCCAGGCTGGTCTCAAATTTGCAACAGTCCTCTTGCCTCAGCCTCCAAAATGCTGATACAGGCATTCGCCACTGTACTTGGATTTTTTTTTTTTTTTTTTTTGTCTTTTTGATACAAGGTTTTGCTATGCAATTCAAGCTGGCCTTGAGCTCACCTTGTAGCCAGGGTGGTCTCAAACTTACAAAGATCCTCTTGCTTTAGCCTCCCAAGTGCTGGAATTGTAGGTATACACTACTGTACCTAGCTATACCTAGCTATTCACTTTCTAGATCCCAGGAAATACAAGATGGAGGAGCAGAGAGTAAGGTGGAGCCCAAACTCTTACCTGCCACAACTGCTCCTGAAGCCCCTACTCCCTGACAATGGCCCTGGTTCATTCCTAAGGGTGGAGCACTGGGACCAGCCACCTCTGCACACTGATGTGTGGGAGGCGAGGTTTCCTAACACAAGTTTGGGGGACACATTCAGACCATAGTACATAATTGCACAGGTACCTGATGGGTCACAGGTTCTTACAACTCTCTGACCCAATGCCCCATTTTATAACAAATCCTAAAATAGTTTACACATAACAATCTACCTAGAAACAGAATTTCAGTGGACTGTCAGGACCACAGGAATAACTGCAATAGAAGGCCTTACAAGGTGGCCAGATGTTCACATCCACCTGTAATGAACCACTCTGCTTTCAGAACAGGTAAATAGTAGTCATGTATGACAAATAAAGAACCATCAGTAAGCAGACATGTACATACATGTGTACACATGTGTATGGATGGGGTCCCCAAGAATTTAGGGATACAGATTCAGGATAATGAGTGCTGAGTGTCAGCCCCAGGGCCAGACCTGCCAGTGTGGTTTGCCATGTGCTCTTTCATTTTGTGAAAGACTCTTGAGTGACAAACACCATAAAATGCCTTCTTCCCATTTAATGTACACAGAATTTGCATCCTGGAAACATTTAAATCCTGAAAACCAGTAGGAAAACTGTCCAGGCTCATATAATTTTTTTTAAAAAGGCTATATATGATGACACACATCAATCCAGCACTTGAGAGGCTGAGGCCGGAGTGTCCATGAGTTCAAGGCCAGTGTGGGCTACAAAGTGAGTTCTAGACCAACCTGAACTGCATAACAAGATTCTGTGTCAAAAACACCAAAAACATGAAAAAAGAAAAGAAAATTTTAACAGTAGTACATGTCCAGGAGGATAGGAGAGCATGCAGGACACATGACAGTTCTGTTATGCAAGATAGACATTCCTATCAGTCATACACAATCATTTTGGCAAATGTTCACATCACCCTCTGGTTTTTAGCTGACTCCTGTGCAGTGGTGGATACTTCAGTAAAAATCTTGACACTGCGATTCTCCAGTTTCCTTTGTGGTTATGGTGTCTGGAGTTCACTGAGTGACTTTGAAACTCCTCCATCATTCAGGGCACCACAGATTCTGAGGAGGACACTGTGGCCTAGGCTCTCAGGGGCCAACATTCTGATGTTCTTGTGGAGCAGGCTCTGGGTATGTTGACCAGTGTCTTTGTTACTTTCCTCAGCACCAAGACAAGTACCCACAACTTAAGGAGAGGTTTCATTTGGCTCAGTGTGTAGAGGTGTTGGTCCACAGTCTGCTGGCTTCAGGTTGGGGCAGCATGGTCCTGGGGCATTGCAGAGGAAAAGCTGCTCTAGCAGGGTGGACAGAGAAGGGAGGAGCCAGGGAGGAGATGCAGCCTTCCAAGTCCCAGCCCAGGACCCTGTTCGACTCAGGCCCCGCTGCCTAACAGCAAGTCTACTATGAGCCTGGCTCTGAGCACTGAGGCTTGGGATAGGAGGGGGCATCTAGATAAAACTCGAGCAGTGAGTTTAAGTTGGAGCACAGCACGGGAGATTCCTATGTGGAAGTGTTGAGGGTCAGGGTCAGGAGAGAAGTAGCCCAGAGCCCTTGAGTGAGCAACACCTCTGCTGGTCCCCAGATAGCGCCGTCCTTCAGCATACAGAAGATGCTGGGCACATAGTCCTCACCTCAGAGAGCTCAGGCCAGAGAAGATATTCAAAGAGTTTTCTGCGTGATAGAGAGAATATAAAGTAAAAAAATAGCCTTTATTCCAAGAACATGGAGAGAACTCCGTAACAGCCGGCAGCCAGAATGTGGGGCATGGAATATATATATATATATAACCTCTGCCCAGAGGCTGTACTTAGCGCAGGCATTGATGACTCACGAGGAGCTGATTGGAGTTTTTTTTGCATGCAAACAGAAAAGGGGAGTTGCAATTAAGGCTGAGGAAGAAGCAGGAAGTGGTAGGTAGTCCTGCTTTGGCCTTCCGCCACTTAGACTACCACCATAATTTCTACTAAGGCAAGAACCTTTCATTCCTGTCTTTGTATTGTTAGGAAAAGGGTGAAGTCTCTCTCTTATTATTTTCTGCTGAAAGGGGGCGCTGTATTGGGGTTCAGGAAGGTTGACAGGATGATGGTTGATGCCCATGTAAAAGCTGGTACCAGGTATTTTAACCAGGACAACTTTATCATTGGTGAATGCCCACATCTTAGTTTAGAAAAAACAAAGAGACAAGGTGCTATGAGGAGGCAGGCCACTATCATATTTAAGGACCCAGAGGAAGTAGAAGGAATCATGTCTTTGATTTAAATATGCTGTTCCATCAGGACCACGGTGAGGTACAATTCTGAAAAATAAGTGTGGGGTTAGGAGGAGTGAAGTTATGAGAAGTGATTATTCTCCCATCTTAAAGGGTAACAGTTAAGAGTGTAGGTAGGTAGGATTTGTCTCTGGTCCAGGAGTTGAGCTGGAAAGAATAAGAGGGGTGGAAAAGGTATGGCTGTGTCACTATAAGGGAGATGAGAGCATAGGCCCACAGGGATCTCATAATTGACTAAACAGCTGAGGGTAGAGAGAACTAAGACAGCTGTCACGTAGAACAACATGAAGATGATCTTATGCATGATGTGGGAGTCTTTAGAAAAGACTGTTAAGAATCCTGCTGTAAAAAAGATAATTATTTAATAGGATATAAGGAATTAGGAACCAAACTGGATAACAAAACATGCCTGAGACTTAGCCTTAGAGTTGTGGCTGTGAGGCCTTGGTGAGATGGAGACAAGTGTGAGATAGAAGATGAGATCACCACTCGGGATGGTTAGATTTAGGGTTGGAAGGGCACTGCTTAGCTTGAGTCATCTGGAACCAGGATGGCAGTCCAGCAACTATGACCACTGTTGGGGTTGTCAAGAAGACCAGGTAGGGGCCACTCCACCTTGGTTGTAGTCCTTGGGATGATTTCCCTGTAACAGGACTTTAGTAAGTGTATCAGCAGTCTCCTTGGTTGTGGGAAAGGCTTTTATCTATCCTGAAAAAGTATAAACAAAAGTGAGAAGATATTTGAGAGATTTGTGGCAGGGCATGTGCATAAAATCTACCTGCCAATCCTGACCAGGGTTGTGTCCGAGAAACTGATGAATAGAAAAGGAAGGGGGTGCCTGAGGAGAGGTTTCACAATAGAGATGACAGGTGTAAGTTGAGAACTTAGAGTATCAGGGTCAGTCTGCATAAACACAAAGGAATAAAAAAAGGCATTTTAAAAATCTCTGACTGTAAAGTGAGTGGTGGAGGGAGAGATATGAGAGAGCATGGTATAAAGGTTTGGTACCACTGGGTGGGTTGGGGTAATGGCATTATTGATTACTCCAAGGTCCTGCACTAGACTATAAGACCCATCAGGCTTGAGTACCGGGAGAATGGAAGTATCATAGGATGAATGGGTAGGTTTAAGAAAACCATTGTCTAAAAGGCACTTAATTATAGGTTTAAGACCCTGTAAATGTTTGGGATCTATAGGATGTTGGGGAATGCAAGGAAAAATTGAATGATCCTTGAGACGAATATAGGTATGGTATGGGTAGCGCAGGTGGGATTGGAAGTATCTCATACCATGGGATCAGCCAGAGAAGAAGAGAGTCTGGAACCTGCATGGCCCTGTATGCAAAGGCTGCGTAGGTTGGCTGTCAACACCCACTATTGAGACTGAGGACTTAATATTAGTGGCCTAAAAACTTAGGAAGAACACTATATATGGCCTCTATGTCCACAGGTACAGAGAATGCCTTACCTGAAACCTCCAGTGGGACTTGGGGCTCTGAGAAGGACACCTTAATGGAGGGCTGTGGAACCCAAGCCCTATCAGTCTTCAGCAGCAAGTCCAAGTAGATCAGTCAGCAATAATCTGGTGGTTATGAGATCTCCTATGAAGGGGAGGAGTTAGAGGATGGCTTACCCACTCTCTGGCAATCACTTTTTCAATGGCCCTTCAGATTGCAGTAGGGGCAAGGCCCCAGAAGAACACCAGGGTTGGGGCACTCTCTTGCCCAATGTCCTTTGTTGTACTTGAAGCATGGTCTGGAACGGGCTC